TCCCCCAAGACGACTAGGATCAATACTCCTGGCAGGATAGAATTCCGCGACCCTGGGCAGGCGCTGCATAGCGGTTTCCCCGAGGAAGGTGCCCTTATAAGGGCCCTATCAAGCCACAACTTTACGTCCCAAACGCCCGCCACGCCCGCCCGCCCACAAATGGACGACCGTTCCTGACGCTCTAATCGATTCATTTGCTAAGCAAATTATGAAGCGAAGGGATTGGTATGAAGCGGCCGTGATGCTGCATGCATATATGGGTACACATATGCAGCCGTATCTTCGGTAGCGGTGATTGGCAAGATGCCTACGGGAAACTCGTCCGAAATCGATTTACAAGTCACTGAGAACGGAGGCTTTTTCTTCGCAGGATTTTGACCGTTTCACTCCGTTCTTTCGCCATTTCCCCACTATACAGCGCCCTACTAGCATTTTAGGCTAAGTAGGAAACCATCGTGCCAACTGCCTTTAAATGAATTACTATAAAAAGTAGGTGCAAGTAGCTTAGCGTTGCCACAACAATGCAAGGGGGGGGGACATTTATTGCGCGCGTAGAACGGGGAAGATCAACAATCGAGTAAATTTGTCTCAATGGCTCGGGAAAAATTTCCCTCAAGGCCGGATACCCCTCCTTAACGGCCACATACGACCTTCTGAGGTCCTTCCAACGATGCATCCCGAGGGGGTCACTTCAGCCTCCTACGACGCTGATGGCGTTTTTTTCAAGTCAAAATTTTGAGTGAGGGATGGAAAGTATCGAATAATTTCATATGTTTGGTGGAAATACCACGTGTGGCTTTCCACAGACTTCGGCATTGCGTCGACTGTGAGATGCTTTGCTTCAAGGTGGTTTCCACGTAAGGTATATAAATCAGCTTAGCTTACATTAAAAAACCCTCAAGTCAATTTGGAATAAAGTCAGCAATCCAAAAAATGAACCGAGGGGAAGTACACCACAATAACGCCGGAAAAGGCTTTACATAACGGTGGCCTTCTAATAACGGCTCTGAATAAGGAACAGTTCGCAGCGGTCCTACTGCCTGCTTGGTGGTCCCATGATTAGGGTGGTAATCTGCATTCAGCTGGGTGGTAGAGACGTTTGCTCGGGTAATCATGAACTTCTTCGATCCTTTCGGGCTTTGAAGAAAACGATTTTCACCCAACTGAAAGGCAATTAATTGATTCATAAATCTTTTGTGAACGTGAAGCGAGCACCTTATAAGTGCTTGGTATAGAATTTCCTGCTCTTAGGGTCTTATGTCAACTTTTTTTACATGGGTTGGAATTGCCGTAATTTTTCTGCAGCTAAGACTGGGTGTGCCGAGAAAAATTTGCATTCCCAACATCACCTTTTTGCGTTCAACCAAGACGATAAAAAAGCAGAATCTGCTCGGAAAAGTTCATGCGTAGGGGCAAGTAGCACTGCCTCTCAGTACAGGCTGGACTCGGTTCAAAAAATAGGAAAGAGGGACACCGAGCTTGAAAATATAGTCGTTTTCGCAGCAGACGATAAGGCGTGTCAGACTGTCAGAGTTTTGGCACGATACCAGCTCGCATTTCACCAATTGTTGCTTCCCGGTCCAACAAATCCCACCGAACACTGTCTCAGTAAGGGGTGGCAGACATGCAGAAAACGGGCATTGCCGTGCCTATTCTGGCACCTAGCACTTTGCGATGAGAAAGGCACAAAGTAATTTTAAATCAGTTTTTTATTAGGGGGGCGAAACCAAATATACTGACAGATGTTGTTCCAAATGGACGAATTTAATAGTTCTGGTCGTTCTTTAGTTTCCCAGTTGTTTACCCAACATTATCCATGACACACGTAATTATTTACTTACCTACAACTGCTCTTCAGAGTACACGTGAAAACCACGTCTCATTCACGTGAAAAGCGCACTCCACTTCCTATTCCAATCCATCACATCCCTGATAAAAAGAGCTCTGCTGAGAAGGAAAACTGGAAATTTACCAATTGAAGAAATAGATGATCTTCTTCCTGACGGGACCACCTTTAGCAAATAACAAACAATCGCAAAAAACAGAGGTATTTATGCAAATGTAATAAACATGGCAAATATCACCGAATCAAACAAGTAAAAATAGATTCTAGTGTAGCACAAGGGCAGGTGGACTAAGGCATCAATCACCACTTATCAGGACTGATACGGTAGAACTGACGAGCATAAAACGGAGAATCTAAAACGGAAAACAAATAGAAAAGCAAACACCGCGTAGGGTTCATAAATTAAGACATTCGAGAAATTTCTGGAAGCATAGCACATGTCGATAGGATCCATTTTACAACGGACGCTTATTGCTGATGTTGTTTTTCACGCGCCAAAATGTTGCTCGTCCATGCTGTCACCTCGGAGAGACGCTGACGGGCTTCTGAGAGCACCTGCAAAACGAGCAATAAACTTCTTAGCGATCAAAAACTTATGACGATTGATATTCAGAAGGTGCGCATGGCTTAATCCACTATCATGTAAACATGGTCGTAGGTCAGGATCCGTGTTGCGACGGCGCGACGTTATAATTGATATCGCGTGCGCGGCATTCGCTCCATGACAACCGTAACATGCCAGCTAGAAAGAGTTTCTGCACTTTCTCACAGACGACGAGTATTTAAAACCTTGCTAGTCGCATGGGATCATGACACGTATGTCACGGCGATGTCACGCTATTCGGTAAACCTCGGACTTTCCCACTGCGTTCTACTTGTGGAAAGAACGTTCGAAGTTCAACCAACCTCATCTCTGACTTGATAGATGTCTTTCGATTCGGCCAAATTTCTATCGAGGTCTTGCAAATAATGAATGGCTGAGTCCACACGGGTACCATCACCAAACACCTAAAATCAAAGAAATTACTCGAAGAAAAAAATCACGACAGCTTTCGTGGTCTTATGGTACGAAGCTTCCTCCACAGTTACAGCCACTACCGCAGTACAAGCATATATATAAAACGATTATCGATTCGTGCAGAGCTAAGGGCGCAGTCCAGTCAACTGTATGGGCAGAGACGAACATTTATCATGCCCTCTCATTGGTGCCAGAATCCTCAAGAGCTGGGGAACGAGGAACGCGCCAATAAGGACGGCGCAATGCTAGGCCTGTCTTCGCCCACACGGTTACTGTTGACCTTGCCTTTAAGTTCAGGTACAGTCTATGAACAATTATGCGTTAAATGTGACTCATTTCTCACTGCGTTCGTCTTCCACTGACCTGCTTTTCCTTCAGCGCTTGCAAATTTTCTCTCAATTGTGCTGAAGTAGTACGAATGCTTTTCATCAGCAATTCTTCGGGTTTTGTGCTGTACTCCTTGGCTTCCTTCTCTATCCGTGCTTTCAGCTCCACAACGGACGACGACAGCTCTCCCACCTTTTCAAGGGCCCATTCGCGTTTTGCACGGACCATATCGGCCTAAATACAGAAATAATACAAAAGAAAACCAAATGAGCACATTCTACCCGATTTCAACAATTTCAATCAATGTTACGGCTGGAACAACTCACAAGTAGGAAATTCTTGCTTAGGGTGTCCAGAAGTGAACGGAGTTGAGCGGTAACCGGATCAATTACTTGAGTATGTGCCTGCAAGTGCTACAATGAGCTTTTGTATGACATACCTAAGCTTTCGTCCCTGTTCAAAAAGATTAGGACACATTCCGCGACAAGTTGGTGGGCGAGGAGCATTAACAAGCCATCTTTTTACTGTATCAAACACAAGACACATGTGGGGTGCGCCAATAAGGAAGTCGCGAGGGCTGCGAATCTCCGCCCACGCGACTATCGCGGAATGCTCTTCAAGTGGCCACGAAATGGCTGATCAGCTATCTAGTCGTTTTTGATGCAGACGTTAGGAAGTGTCAGAGGACAGAGTTTGGAGCCTCCGTTTCCCACCAATTGTTGCTGCTTGCCCGCTTCAAAAGTTGGTGGAGAACGAGCTGGTGCCGTGCCAAACCCGGCACCCTGACACGCCTCAGCGTCTACGATTCGGTAACTCTGGAAAGGAGAAAACCCGACTTACCCTTTCATTAACCGCTTTCACAATCTTTCGGGCCAACGTATAGACACGCTCCTTCACTGAGCCCTCTGGATGTTCTTCAACTGGAATTCCTAGTGATCGTTCCACCAACACACTGATAACATCCAAGAAAGCGTTTGTGCTTTCGGCAATTTTATCGAGAGGAATCTGAAAGCAAAGCAGTCCGACGTTAGAATCAATACCCTTTTTCGCAAGTTTTGCTTTTCTCGGTGGGACCGTGGTCTTCAGAGTGCCACATGGGTCTATACTCTTAACCACTCGGCTGTTCCTGACTGAAATCATTTTTTACGTTGGTTTTGCCCATTATCTTCCATGTAATTCTAGGATTCCGACCTTTTCTGACGGTCTTCCGACAACTTAAACTTAACCCCTTTGTATGCGTTGATCTTCCGTTTTTCTCTGCGCTCTCTCGTCTCTCGAAGACCAGAGACGCCTTGCTGTCTGTTGCAACATTCTCAAAGTCACCTGCACCCTTATAGGCTACCTCAAGCCCGCTAATGGTGCCACCGGACACAGAAAAGGCAAATAACTGACTTGTGCAACTCGTTGGCCTTCGGCGATAGCGTTCCAGATCTTCTCCTCGACCACTTTCTCAGCATCACGAACTGCGGCGAGCATTTGCTGACCAGCATTCTTAGCACCTCCAAGCGTATCGAGGAGCAGTATTGCTCCACCGGTGGATAAAGCCAATCCCAACTAAAATAAACATGTAGTAGAGCAACAGCAACCGCGAAGAAATCTGTGGGGAGCTGCGCTGGTATTTCCTAGCTAGTTGACTCGTCATGCGAATGCCGCGTACGTAAGGTCGTTTGCGACACCATTTTGCGACACAGAATCTACCGACGTACACCCTGCTGCACCCAGGGGAACTCGAACTAGGAGGAATACGAGAAATCTCCCAGGAAAGTAGATTTATTATTTTAAGGGGTGCAATACCAACCAAGTACTCCATGGTTTCGGATGATTTCAATCTATATCAGTCGATTACCTATGGCTTGAAAGAGGTCAAATTCCGCACCTACTTCATGGTCCAGCTGCCACACACTTGAAATATCGCACAGATCGATAGTCAAACGATTTTCATGGGTAGCCTACGAAAACTTACAATTCTGATGTCTATGAAAACAGCCACATGGTCTAAGTTCTAAAATCCGACTTAGACGCGCTACGCAAAATCGAAATTTCAACTGGTACCGATCGATAGCCCACGATTCCAGGAATCTGCGACTGATGTGCTCTCTCATTGGAAACGACCAAAAAAATGTAGGTTAGCCACATCCCCTGCTCGTCTGCGCCCTCACAAGCGTGAGTCAGACCCGCTGATCATCATCTCGTTGAGAGAGCGTAGACGAGCACGGAATACGGGCGTGCCCCAAAGCTGTAGCCGACTGTCCCTACTGTCGTCGCTCCACAAGGCACTGACTCGCTGTAGAGTCCCATCAGCGACGTCGTACTTGGACGCCGAGAAGGAAGAGATCCTTATTTGTTGGACGGATCGTATCTGGCCCCGAAACAATTGCTCCGAGCGCGATAAAATAAACCATCGCACTCCCCTACCACGACTTGACCCCAGCCCAACTGCACCAATACCTCAGTAGTGAGGTACAAGACCAGTATCAGTACTAGCACAATATGCAGCAATATTGTTACCTGTGTAGCAACCACTGCCGCTCCAATACCAAATGTACCTCCTTGAACTGCCACATTCTTCGATGTTTCCACTGCTGACATGGTCTTTTCCATCCCTGTAAAACATGACATAAATCAGCTTGGGTAACACCTGTTTGCAGCTATGCAACTAATTATTACTACGGCAGCGTTCAGACTTCGTGATCGCGTCGCTAGGCGGCGCATTCGATCGCGGCGCGGGGCTGCGCGATCGCGAAGTCTGAACGCTGCCTACCAAAGGCGCATTGTGCAGCACTTATAACTATCAAGAAACTTTTCTTCAAGTCTATATATGCTCCGTGAGACGCAGAGAGCGAGAGTGCGAGGGACGCAGAGCGACAAAGTTAAGTAGAAAAGCGAGCGGTCGATAAAAACCTGAATACTGGCAGTACCCCCCCCCCCTCGCTTAGTACTTCTTATAGTGAGTAGTGTTCCCTTATCGTAATTCTCATCATACAGCCCTTGAAAACAACCTCCACACTACAAAACGCTAACACTGGTTACACAGCATAAACGAAAAAAGGGGCTATAGTAGCTGGGAAGGGGGGGGGGGGGGGGATAGGGGAGTTAGCCAGCAAAGAGACCGGGCCACACCTATCTTCTGCTTCTCCGCACGCTCTCGACGAGATAGGGTCCTGTGAGGTTAACTGGTGCCAGTGAGAGCGTCACAAGCATAGATTGATGTGGCCTAGGCACACGGCCCACGTCCTCCCTCCCTTTCCATCCCAACTACCTTTCTGCTGAGAAAATGTTTACCTGCATTATAGGCATTTGTGACGGCTTCCCTTGAACGAACATAGTAGTTCTGATGAGCGTCGTATGCTTTTTGCGTGGCAGTTTGCGCGGCCGCCTGCACACTTGACTCTACACGATCCAATGTAGATTCCAGCAATTTTGAGCTGTGTTTCGTCCAGTCGTATGTTGCAATCGCCTAAAAAAGAATCTGTCCCGTGCTGCATTCCTACTGCAAACTCTACAACCATCAAGTGAAGAGAACCGAGAATAACAAGAACAGTTGCGGGCGTGCGCGTCGCGGCTCGTGTGTACACGTCGCGGCGCTATGGGCAGACCTCGACCTCGAGTTTACCTCGACTTTTTTGAACGTTAGCTTTCCATTTTCGAGTGCCCATTTGCAAACATGCCCAAATAGATCGTGGGGCTTTGCGCTACGCTTCCTATGCGTAAATTGCGACAAGAAGAGCGCGTTTCGAGCGATCACATCGCGCGATCGCAAAGTGTGAACGCGCTCCAACGCCAAGGCGTAGCGTAGGGCCTGTCATCTCTCCGGATCAAGGCGTAAGAGCGCATCGGTCTCAATGTAGGGCGATAGCGAGTGCGGTCGCAGAGCGGTTAGTAGAGTAACCTAAAGGTTACTGGGAGTGAACATTACCAACTCATATTGTACAAGGACAAAATAAGTCAAATTTGTCAAGGGTTTAGTTCGGCCAAAAGCTAGCGATAGCGAAGGCAAAACTATACTGAAGTTGCCGCTTCGCGACCGCGCGCTCGATGGCAACGTATTCCGCAGGTCTAGTAGGGCAGCTAAAGAGGGAGCAAAAGTACGCTAAATTCGCTGCTTCGCGACCGCACGCTCGATGTCAACGTATTCCGCAGGTCTAGTAGGGTAGCTAAAGAGGGAGCAAAAGTACGCTAAATTCGCTGCTTCGTGACCGCACGCTCGATGTCAACGTATGCGGATTCCACTGCACTACAAAAAACAGAGAAGCTGTATAGCACCAACAAATAAGGATTCTATTTACTTTTTAGTTAAATAACCAGGCCACCAGGGTAGCGAATGCGAAAAAACTACGCGGTTGCCGCTTCGCGACCGCACGCTCGATGTCAACGTATTGCAAACTTCACTTCTACCTTGACGAAAGAAAGTGACGTGCAATTTCAAGAGGTAAGCATACAAAAAAGCAAAAACACCGATATACCTGCTGAATCCAAGGATTTTCCATCAGATACTTGTAGTAGTCAGAATAGTCTACGCCAGGCTTAGGCTGTCCGTTAGGTTGTTCAGTCCCCATTTGGTTAGGCTGTTCGTTATGTTGTTCAGTCCCCATTTGTTCAGTTACCATTGTGGAAATCTAGAGAAACTCTGGAAAACCCTTTTATTAATAAGTTGACAAAGGAGTTAGTTGAGCGGGACAAGATTAGACAATTTTGAGGAAGATAAGGGCTGCGTTCCGGCCCTGCAACGATAAAGAAGCACAGCAGATAGAGTTCACCAGGAAAGAACAGTAAGAGGGTGCAAGTAAAGAAGTAAATCAATGGGGGAGCGAAGAAATGGGCAGGCAACTTGAAAGACTGACCGGTTGGCCGAGTGGAACATTCGCGAACACCCACCCCAAAGATCAATATCGAATAGACTTACATCAGCAGAAAGAAAACACGCCACCCGTCCTTGGCCCCGTATGCTGAATCGGAAGAAAATAATGACAATTAATGACCATGAAGGGGTAAGTCCCCGATTTGGGATTAGCGACATGGGAATGGGGTGATTCCCGACGGAAGTTTGGGTGCACTTTGTTCCCGAATGACGGGCTTTTAAATACTTTCGATCCAATGGGGTCAAAGTACGTGGCGTGCGTTTCGTAACAAACTCTACACACTTCTACTCCCACCTCGTTCTGCCTCACTCTGGCTGAGCAATGAACGAGCAGCTGTTGGAAGAACGTCTGAGGGCAAAAACTAGAGCTTCTGCTCCCGATGGTCCCACTCCTATCACCCTATATATGTCTTCGTGACTATCAATTTTTCCTATTTTTTCAGTGACCTGGCTACTCAATGAGAGTGTCCTTTTATATACATTAGAGTCCAGCCCCTCCCCCACCGCCACTTCCCTAACGAATACCTGTGCAATAAATTGAAGCGGAATTAGCGCAGAACTGCTTGAACATCTCATCAGAAATAACTCTGTTACCGTACCCAGGATTGAGCCAAGCCCCCCATTTATCTATGTGGATTGAACAAGGAGTATCGGGCGTTTTCCGAGAATCAGAAAGGGCCCCGCGAATAGCGGTGGTACTCAGCCACGCTTCTACAGACCACCTCAGGAAAACCTGTAAAGTCCTGTGACTGAACTAGCTCTCTCGCACCATTTCGCAAGTTCACAGGGGTTTACAAGTCTCACCAAGGAGGCCTCTTATTTAACATGATCAACGACATCAACTGACAAAGTGCCCCCCCCCCCCCCTTAACCTCCAAGCCGAACGCGCCTTACATAGATACAACCACTATATTCTCTCTCAAAATATGCAGTTCTGAATGGAAAGTCGATTGCATGGCGCATTCGGAATCGGATGCATGGCGCATTCCGAAGAAATTGAACAACGCCGAGCATTCTCGCCTCATACAGCTCCTGACAATAGGGTGAGAAAGAAAAAATGAAAGTGTAAAATTTTAAATGGCAAGGGAGAACGGCGAGTAGCCAGCAGGGGAGGAGATTATGCGGGAACAAGGGCGAATTGGGTGAATATAAAGTTGATATCTTATCAGAGAAGAAGACAAAGGGGACTGATAAGTGATGAATGCAAGCAACGCAAAAACACACAGCATGGTGACCAGTATGTACACAAACAGACCAACAAACAATACTATAGACCAGCATTCCACAGTAATAGTAGTACCGGACTGGTTTCGACGGGCGAGTTTAGGACAGCCGGGTCAGAGCGCCCCCAGCCCTTCCTCAGCGTCCTCTTACAAGGGAAGGTTCTAGAAGCGCAGCGGATGCACGTCCATGAGCGGCAGCACCGTGCGAAAACTAAAGGATTTTCAGCTAGGACCCGAGTTCAATCGATTGGGATTTGCTGCGGATGCCGCGCGCGTAACGTCCTCCCCTGCACCCTGCCCAGTATCTATTAGGTGCTACACTAGATATAAAAAACTGTTCGAATATCTACGACCCTTACCGCAGCGCAGGTAAGCTACGCTTACCGCTCATATATGGATTCGAATGTGGAGGAGGGACTCGAATGCGTGGCTCATCCCCATTTGGGTTACCAACGCTATGCGCATACGCCTCTGGCTCCGCTCTATTCACTAGTTAACGCCACTCTAAAAACTACACTATAGCCGATCACTTTTCTTCAAGAACATCGCGAAAGGACGCGGCCACCGCAACTGTCACGCCGCGTGGTTTTCGAAATAAAGATGACTCAGAACTTACACGTTTGCTCGTCCCGTGCCTTCTGATTAGTGGGACAAAGGACAAAGTCCGGCACGGCACTACTCACCTTTACGACACCACTTCTTGAGCCCGGAATGTTCTCACCGGAGTACCCCGCTAGCACATACATGGCTAGAAATTCGCTTCCAAGGGTCCTTTAGGCAGGGCACGCCATCGTTGTGATCATCACAACGGGGGGTCGTATTTGACCTCGAGGGAGGGGGGGGGTCGTAAGCGCGGGGACCTTTCTGAAGTGAGGGTGCAGCGATACCCAGCTGTCGTTCAGCTTCAATGATGAAAGACTTATCCATGTGAAGGACCTCTGAAGAGACCCACACAAGACAGAAGCAACCTGCCAGCGCAGAAATGGGGAACGGGCGATGACAGGGAATATGATGGCCTCCCACAACGACGTCATGAATTAATATTAAAAGATAAAGGATAAAGTCTCCGCCGTTGATCAATCCCTTTGTGGATGTTGGCCACACCCATTCTACTTCAATTTCAGAACGCAGTTAGCTCATTGAATGGCGCATATGCCTATACAGTGACTTGCGTGGCCAGCCGATTGTACAAGTAGTGTTTTAATCCTCCCCAGGCAAAATCTGATTACCAATCTTACTGTGCCGAGAGTAGAAGGCTTGGTTGGCCTAAGCGAAAGTCGATCCGGGATTTGAAACCGGCATCGCGCGAGTGGTAAGCGCACCACTTGTTACTGCACCACCTCGGCGGCAGAAATGAGTATGCCGCCATGAACTAGTGAACAAATGAAAATACACATCCGACGCTTTCTGACGTGCAAGCTACAATCTATCTTTCACTGAAGGACGCCCTTTCTAAAAAAGTTGCACGCTTCCCCAATAGCTCGCGTGAAATGCGCTTTATCATGGCGCAATGTCAGAGGTGATGCCAATTGCGTCCAATGAACATTACTGGTATCTTGGCAAAATAACATACGTTTTAGAAGTATACCAGTGAGTCTTAAAGCCAACTGGAGAAATTTTCTGGCGTCCCAGGGGTGATTTTTCGGGGGAGGGGGGATTTTTCTATGATCACAACAGCGGATTTTTTCGAATAGCAGGCCTAGGGATGAAATGAAAGCTTTGCTGGAAGTAGAAGCTTCGTGCTTCCGGCACAGTTCTTTTTTACGAAAGGGCCGTTGTATGAAGCTTGCCATGGATGTCCAAAGCGTAGCGACTTGTGGTTGGCCCCCATGATCACGCAAGGGTCACAACGGGGAAAATTTCTAGAAAAGAAATGTTTTTGAGAATCGCTCAAACTCAGGTAACAAGAGCCAATCTAGCTCCACTCATTCCACTTTCCCCTCTCCTTCAGCGAAGTTATGGGTGTTCAAAAGAGGGGTACTTTTCGAGTGTTTGGCTTGAAATTGGCTCCAGGTCGTAAAATAGCGCGCACCAATGCGCTTGTATTAGCGCGTGTATTAGGGCTCGCGTGCGGATGACCGCGAACAACTAATATTCAAAACTAATGTGCATAGTTCCTAGTACTTCTGGTGAGTTTTTTGTCGTTTGTTTGGTATTTTAGATCTCTTTTTTGTTTTCTAGTAGTTTTTAAGGTTGTATTGTTGTAGTATTTGGCATTATCGAGCTACTCCTACCCCAGTCTGCCGAAATCAGGCCAATTTTTTATCGATTTTTTTTTCTAGAGGGTAAGAATGGTATAGAAATTTGTTAACAGGTGTACTTTCGACCTCCTGACACGAATATCACACCCGCTTTGCCCAAAACTTTTCATCGATTGGTGATTTAGGGTATTTTGGCGCCGCGCCACAGGCGCCGGGGCCAAAATACCCTGAATCACCAAAATCGATGAAAACTTGTATACGGGGGTTATTTGACATCCTGATTACGAATATGATATTTATACTTGGCGCCAGCGCTAAACGTAAGGACACCCATGGTCATCTGCGCTCTTGCAGGACTGAGCCTGACCTTAGGGAAATCTCCCCTTTCTCTCAGTTTCAGCCTCAGCAGAGTGCCAAATAGCGCTGGTATGAAAAATGATGTCAGACTCGTGATCAGGACATCGAATAACATCTATAGAC